TATTTGTGTGTGTGTGTGTGAGAGAGAGAGAGAAGGGCTTAATATTTGTGTGTGTGTGTGTGTGTGTGTGTGTGAGAGAGAGAGAGAGAGAGAGATAGAGAGAAGGGGGACGAGGACGGAAGAGGTGAACAGAGCAGATTGGAGGAAAGGCAAGTGTGGAGGGGGAGAGGGGTGTGCATGGGGAGCTGGTGATAGGGGAAGAAGAGGTGCACTTAACTTTTGATCGATGTACAAAACGGTACGGTGCAAAATTGCTCTTTTCAAAGTGCGTGCAACTCTGCCCAAAGCCCCAAAAGCCACTGCGTCTTATAATTTTTCGATTTCGAGTCTAAGCATGTTGTTGCCCTGCTCATCTTTGAGTTTGAGTCATAGCAGTGAAATTCCCGGTGTACTCGTTGAGAAAGGAAAGCCAGTCTGACCGATTTTGGAGTAGCAGGGTCCTCTCGCTGCTCTTATACCTATACAGTATGTCGTGTCAATGGTGTTGATTTTCCTTCTATCTTCCTTCTACTGACTGATGTGCATTGCATGTGGTCGGCTTGCTGGCTTTTTCTCTTCTGTTCAGACCGCAGGTGTCATCAGCTCTGTTCTTCAAGTACAACACTGCTCTTGGCCCCCCATATCAAGTGCTTGTGGATACCAACTTCATCAATTTTTCCATTCAGAACAAGGTAGGTAGGTAGCAGAGGGGTGCAATATTGTTTGTCTTCTCTGTTGTCTGATCGTTTGATCGTTTCTTTACGACACCCCTTGGTTTCCTTTTTCTCTATCGCCTTGTGTCAAATATGGTTTGTCTTCTCTGCGGCCTTCTCTCTGGCCTGATCGTTTCTTCAAGACAGATCCTCCTTTTCTGTTGTTTCTTTTTGTTTTTATAAACAAGACATATCCTTATGAGTGGAAAGGGAGGCGGCTTTTTGTGACAAAAAGAGAAGTTTAAGGCTGTTTGGTAGAATATGTGGCCGTGCAAAGAAGGGGGTGGGCTGGGCGGGGGGTTGGGGGTGGGGGGTGGGGTTCGTTAAAACCCACAACAACAGACAAGCAAGAACAAGCCCTAGAGGTGTTTGGATCTGAGTTTTTTTGTTGATGGAATCATTTTGGCGATGTATGCCGTTCGCTGCTCAACCAATGAGCAGGCAATGCGTCCACAGTACTGACTCCCACCTCGGTCTTCTGTGTGGGGATACCGATTCGAAATGAACAACATCAGAAGGCTGGGAAAAAAAAAGAAAAAGGAACAGCGACACAACTGAGTCCGAGCTTATCGTCAGGAAACCCAAAGAGCAAGCACAACCAGGACTTCACTCGTCATCCGAGCTTATCATCATCAAAAGACTGCAAGGAGAGTAAAAAAAAACAGCAAGAACTACCAAAGAGAACAGTAAGAACAAACAGGACTTCTTCGCTCATCATCCCAAAGCTCAAAAGCCTTGCAAGAGCAACCGAGGCTTAACTACTCATCATCATCATCATCTCATCATGAGAGTCAAAGAAAACATTAAGAGCTACCAAGAGTTTAACTCATAATCATCATCAGAGTCGAAGAAAACAGCAAGAACTACCAAGACTTAACTCATCGTCAGAATACTGGAAGAGAACAGCATGAACAGGCACTGCTTTCGGTAGACTGAGAAAAGAGAAGGGGTTCCTGTCACCCCAACTCCAGGCCAGAACGCCTAAACAGTGTGGCCGATTTGACACACTGTGCAGGGCAGAATGTCCGGCCCTCGGACAATGGGCAGGGAAGTGAGGAGGGAGGAGGGTTGGGGTGGAAAGATGCTGTCATCGACTTGCCAAGAGCAAGCAAGACTTAACTCAGCAGAACAACCCAGGGTTAACTTATCATTAGGAGACTCAAAGGGCGAACAGCAAGAACAACCACTACTTAACTCATCAGAAGACTCGAAGGAGGAAACAGCGAAACAACCAAGGCTTACTAAACTCGCCATCAGAAGAAGACGCCACAAATGGAACAGCCAAACACAACCAAGGGTTACAAAGAACCCTTGGGTGTTTGGCTGTTCCATTGGTCGGAATTCATCATGAGAAGATTTGAAGGGAACAGCAGCAAAACAACCAAGGGTTATAAACTTGTAAAGGCATCAGGAAAAACAGACTCAAGGGGCGCAGGAAAACGACCAAGGCTTATATGAACTCGTCATCGGAAGACACACAAATGTGACAGTGCCAAACAACCAAGGCATAATTCATCGTCATCAGAAGTCGCAAAGACCAGCAAGAACGGCCAAGGCTTTTAACTCATCATCATCAGAAGACTCACAAATGGAATGTTAAAACCACCAAAGGTCAAGTCATCGACAGAAGTGCCCATACATTTAGCACCACATGTGCTGGGGGACGCAGGTGTAAAGCACAATCTCCAGTGGAAACGCACAACATCGTGTACGAAGCAAGATGCATTCAAATAGGCACGTAATTCTTCCCCCTCTCCCCCACGCAACCCCACCCCACCTCCCCACGCCTTTCCTCTCTCCCTTTTTCCTCTCCTTCCCACCTCCTTTCTCTTCTCCTTCCTCCAATCCCCTAATAATCTAGCTCCCTGGGAGGAACGGCCTTCTAGTGCATGCTAGAAGAAAGAGTGCAACTTGCTACCAGCAGAGCTCAAAAGTCACCCTGCAGAATTTTCACCACTCCATGAAACTACTACCAAGTAGCACCCTTGGGATTTATCTTCAGAAAAAGAAAAAGAAAATCACCTTCACTCACCCCTGCAGCTGGACAAAAGGGCTCGGCTGTGCTGCCCACATTGCAAACAGAGCTTCCTCCAATGCGGCACTGCTTGTGATAATCCATCACAAGCAGAGCACTGCATTTGGACCCTTGGGAATACGATGGAATATCATCAGCAGTGCCACATTGGAGGAAGCTCTGCAGTGCCCGCAGCTGTGCCTCTGCGGGCACGGCAGAGCTTTCTCCAACGTAGCACTGCATCACTGCATCAGTTGGGCAAATGCTGCCCAACTGATGGCGCCGCAGTCTCCCGAAAATAACGGTAGGTGATCACACATTTGTATTTGTGTTTCAGTCTAGCTGTGGCGCCGGCGTTCTATTCGGGCGAAGAAGGTATTATTCAGTAGTGTGTGGAGTTCTCTGACTTCACGGAAAGGAAAGAGACATCAACGAACGAGTTCCGATCCATGGAGAGGGCTAAAGGTTGTGATGCTCTGTGGTGGGTCTGCTCATTTGCTGCAAAACGACGGACTATGGTTATGGGTTTCATAACGCTCATTTGATGTACGTGTTGTGTGCAATCTGTTGTTGTTGTGTGTGCATGTGTGTGTGTGTGTGTGTGTGTGTGTGTGTGTGTGTGTGTGTGTGTGTGTGCTCCTATGGCTGAAATCGAGTTTTCAAGTTGCAAATGTTGGAATCCTCTCTGATTGGTGGACAAATTGCTGTCTGGTAATCTTTTTATGTGTGTGTGTTCCGCCSCCCCCCCCCCCCCCCCCCCCTCCTCCCTCTCTCTCTCTCTAGTAGTGCCATGCACTTAATTGTCTTCTCGATTGCTGACTGGTGCTAGTTGTGTGATACACTAACGCGATTGGAATGTGATGGTGGTGCTGATATTGCCAGCTGGACCTTGTCAAGGCAATGATGGACTGCCTTTATGCCAAGTGTGAGTACATCAGCACATCACGTCAATTCTACCAAAATGTGTGCTTTTCTTGCGCCCTTTGCTGCTTTTGGACGATCACTCTCCTCAACTTCCTGTCTTAAACCACCAGTACTTCCGAAAAGGTGCAGCCGTATACGAGCCGCCGCGATGCGCAGGCCCGAACGGGCCGTTCAGCTCCGGTCCAAATTCATTCAAGTGGAGTGGAAACGTCGCGGCTCTCTGTTTTTTTGCTCTCTGTTTTTGCCGCGGCCGATGTATGGGCGAGGTACTGGCGGTGTAAAAAGAGTTGTTCAGCTCCTCACCCATCTCACCCATCTTCTACTTGCGCTTGAAAGGGATGAATCATTCGGTGTTGTTGGTTGCTACTACTACTTGCCTGTTTTTTTTTTGTATGGCTGGTTTTTGTGCAAGTAGGCAGATGCTTGTGAATCTGTACTTGTGGTTGTCGATGAAGAACAGGCCGCCTCTGAATGATCTCGTGCTCAGTAAGCCAGCAGTAGGAGCACCGGTCGAGCGCACTGGCCTTGCGGGAACCGGTGGGGATTTGTCGGGGCACAAAAAACATCAGGTTTGGCTTTTGCAAGTTAGGGTCTGCCGTACTAGTGGTTTAACGTGTGGCTGTGGAGACTGGATAATGTTGGACTCGTCCGAATGCACTTGGTCCAGAAAGCGTCCAGATGCATGGCATGGAGAGTGTTGAACATCGAAGGTATTTGACCTTCGTCTTGACCCTAGGCAAATCCGTGTTTCTATCCGCTGACATTGGGCCTCGCTCCACTACACAGCACTCGACGTGCATCTGGGCGTTTTCTAGACCTGATGCATTCAAAACGTTGGACCCTTCCAAATGCACTTGGTCCAGAAAGCGTCCAGATGCATGGAGAGTGTTGTGGAGTGGAGCGAGGCCCATTGTCACTTTTCTCTGGAGGTTTATGCATTCATTAAATTTTATTTGAATGCTTTTCTGCAATTTGTTTTGCCGTCCTTGTTTGCCGTCTTTGTTTTGCCGTACTGTCTGTTTTCCCCTCTTTGTTGGACTCTTCCAAATGCACTTCTTCTTTTTTCCCCTTCTTTGTTTCGCCGTCCTGTCTGTTTTCCCCTCGTCCTCGTAAAAAAACATCTCTTCGCCGAAAGCAGCTTGGTGCTATGGTGGGAAGTGGCACCCTGATTAAGTTCACAAATTTTGACAAAAAGAATACTAAATAAAACAGTAGTAGCTAAAAAAGCACCACAAATTCTATGAAAAAATTCACCTTCACCTTTTACCAGTAGCCTATGGCATTTGTTGTTGTGCATTGCTTATATGCACAGATGCATGCAAGATGCATGCACAGATGCATGCACACATACATGCACAGATACGTGTACAGATAAAATCACAAACACACATACAAAAGGCGAGTTTGCTTTATTGCCAGGGTAGTTTTTTTTTATCCATCGACTTAATACTTGAGGGCATAAAGGTTTTCAGCTTGGGTCTAGAGTCTAGACGCGTATCGTACGGTATTTTGATGTTCCTTGAGAACCGTTGCAATGCCCGATGTTCACTCAGCTTGTGTTGAAGCATTTGATTTATATGGCTGTTTTGTTTGGAATATGCATGTTTCAGGCACGCCCTGCATCACTGATTGTGTGATGGGAGAGCTCGAGAAGCTAGGGCAGAAATATCGTGTTGCATTGAGGTGAGGTGAGGTGAGGTGAGAAGGGGTAAGACATTTTCAGACTCCAACTGAAATGCACTTCTGGCCCTTTCAGTCTGGTTACGAAGTCAGAACGTCTCAGTGTCCGGATCTTTGTCTTTTGCATTGGGATCTGGATGTCCGAGCCCGATGACCTAAAAGTGGATTCCAGTGTGCAAAGAATGGCCCTTCTGTTGCTGAGAGGAAGGCGGGGGGGGATGGGCATTGAGGGTTTTGCTTAACTCTCAATGTGGAGGGATAAGGAGGTCCCTCATAATGAAACAATTTGATCTGACAACTCTGCAATCCCCTTTGAATCCCCGTCATTCTCCTTCTCCCCCCCCCCCC